TCTTCTCCACTCTTTAGTTCAGCATTGATAGAAAGACAGATATTCTCATTATAGCGTCGTATTGAGGACTCTGATGCTTTATCTGCAACTTCCACGTCGTTCTTTTTACATCCTGTCTTACCTCAGGAGACCCCCCCCTCCCCCCCCCTGCTTGAGGATCATGTGTGAATAACCAGATCAGAAAGATTTTGGGAGCATTCCAAAAAGCTTCTAGATATTTTCAGGACTGCATGAGGGAACACGACTTTAGACTAGAGGGTTCACGCTGTTTAACCGCTTTGGAGGTTTAAGGCGAGGTTTAAGAAGATCCCATCTAATTCCAAGAAGCTTCATGTTTTCATTGCTCTCCTACCTGTCTCATGAAATAGTTTTTTCCAAAGCTTACGTACTTTTGGATACCATGGATCAGTAAAAGAACAGAGATGACAGCGTTTAAAACGTGTGGTATCACAAAGTATCAAAGAAGAGTTTTCAGAGGATCCAAACTGAGAGTTCTGTTCTGTTTTCATTGTTTTCTTCTTCAGTGGTTTCAGTCACAGGACAGCGGTGTCACCCCTAACTCCTCCCCCAGTCCCACCCGGAGGTTCAGGTACGTGCATCACGTTGTGTTAAGATGCAGCTTCTGTTTGAATCTGTGTTCTTACAAACCTGTTTACTGTCCACAGACCAGCAGTCAGCGCCACTGTGAGGTGGCCTGTATTAACTCCACTCAAGAGGAAAGGTAATTCACAGCCAGCAAATATGACACCACCTCGTGGTCAGGTTAACGGCGTTTGAACGTTGACCTGGTACATGTGGGTTTAATACTCTCCTTTGAGTCCTTCCTTCTTTAGTAATGTCAGAAATATTTATACTTTTATGAACCTCTGTTCCTCAGGAGGGGTGGAGTCAGATGGACCACCTAAGAAGCTCTTTGTTGCCGGGGTAACAGATCCGGCCAACAGGAGCAGCTACACAGTTAGGTGAGGATCACCTCGAACTGATAGCCTGTCCTAACTGCACGCAACGCGAGTCAGTGACAAAATCAGCTGGATTCTATTGACCCTGACACCATGTTTCTATTTCCTCTCTGTCGCTCGTGTAGACAGACGAGGAATGAAATAGGAGAGGGCTCTACAAGTCGCTCACGTCCCTCACTCAGCAGAGTTCGTTAGGTCGTTAGCTTGTTGTACAAAGTGGAGATAACAGGATTAAAACGTTGACCTTTGACCTGTGTCAACACGGAGAAAAACTATTTAGCTCACTGCGAGCCGTTTATTCACAAGCTTCAACAGCTCGTCGTTACAAATGCTGCATTCATGTGTTGCTCAGATGGTCCAAGTTTCCGAGTTGGGAAGTCGTTTGTTCACATGATTTCAGCTCGGAAAGTTGGAATGTTGAAACAACAGCAAAAAAAAGCGTTTATGATACGAAGAATAAGATCAGTGAAATGTAACTGTTAAAAGTTATATTTGATAGTCGATACTTGAATTTATGAAAAGTATGTTAACATTAACAAAACTTATTTTGTCCACCATTTGATGACGATTCTGACGTCAAGTCGGGAAGTCGTGCACTCGTAAACTCGTTTTTACCAATGTGTCGGTAAATTAATGCAACAAAAGCACCACACTTCAGTCCACCTTCAAAATAAAAGCACCACACGTCAGTTTGTCCACCTTCAAAATAAAAGCACCACGCTTCAGTTTGTCCACCTTCAAAATAAAATCACTAGATGTCATACTGTTTGCATGGAGAAACTGAAATTCACAGAGCAAAGATTGTCATGTTTTATCTCTGACAAACTCCATTTGTTGTCTTCTTGCAAATGTTTGCATGGTCTGGGTGGACTCTGGAACTGAATTGCCCTTTGGGATTAATTCGGTCTAAATGAATGGGTACATCATGGACAGCGAGCATGAGACTGTGCGCGATGCAACGTGTTATCCAACACTCGCATGCTGTTAGGACACAGTGTAAGGGTGACAACTGTTTGATACCACGTGTTTAAAAATTATACAAGCGCTGTCATTTTAATGATCGATATATCAAAAAGTACCGAAGCTTTAGACAAACTACAAATCTTTAGTCATAGTTTTAACTCGAGGAGAACATTTTCTAAATTGCACACACATTTGCCCAACATGTCACTAGCGAAGCATTGCCAACATATTTGATCAGTTTAGACAATATGTAGTAGTTTGCCTGCAATTTTTGTGGATTAAAAAAGCAAGTTTATCGTATTTGGTGTCTATGACTTTTATTTTGCTACAGAAATCGAAATCTGCATGAAACTCACTTTTCCTGCCTCTCCTTCCTTCCACTCAGTGTTTCCCAGACGGCGGCAGGTTCTCCGCCAGCAGGGGGCGTCAGTCCTCAGTCCAGCCCTCTGTCTCTCTCTCCTCCCCCTGCCTTCACCCCATTTACCTCCCACCAGCACCCCGGACACTAAACCCTCCTCATCCTCCTCACCCGGAGTCCTGACCCTGTCACTGTGGGTGCAGACTGACAACCAGCATCAGCTCCAGAAAAACCACGATGAACATCGACGCCGATCGCACCTTATTTCTGCTCCTGTTAATCGCCAGGATCACTGTAAGTCCCGCCTCTTCCTGCGACCGCTGAAGAATCACAGGAAATTAAGTTTTCTGCTCTCTGAGCTGGTTTACTGCCATGGGAAGTTTCTGTTTCTGTTCAGAGACGCTTCAGAAAGTAAATCCTCCTGAAGTTTCTGATTGGCTATTGGACATTTTTTGTTGGTTAGTTGGAATAACGGCGCCGTTACTTTATTTTAAACCCTCAGAGTCAGCGGTCGACTGTGATTGGGGAGAAGGACTCTTTCATCTGATTTGTCAAATGTGTGGCCTTAGAGTTGTGAGTCCATCATCTGACTGAAGTTGTGGAATAACCCTAAATCCAACGCCCAAAGGAAAGGTTTACAGAAGATTCATCATCAGCATCATCGCAAGACTCATGAATCTTGTGAAACCGAGGACACACTGGTTGTGTCGCCAGACAGAAGCCGGATTCAGACTGACAGAAGGGTGTGTTGGGGGAACTCTGGGAAGCACATGGGGAACAGCACACCTCCAAAAAAAAACAAACCTCTCTGCAGACCCAAGGATCAAACAAGCTAATTGTTATTCAATACGTACAGAAGCAGGATAAATCAAGTAAGCACAGAAACACCAAACTGCTGTACATGTTTGTGCACATGCAGCACAGAGAAAACCTGTTCTTGATGATGGATTCACATCTGGGGCTGCCTGTATGAGGCTGCAGCTGAAGTCTGACCGATCAGTCGATGCTCTGTATGAAGCGCCAGATTATCTCTGGTCGACTGTTCTGAGTTCTTATAAGGTCTTGAGTTGTAATCAAGATGTAGAAACACAGGAAATGAAGAAACATTTGAAGTGTTTAGATTAAACGTATCTACGAAGACATCGAGGTACTTCTGGAAGATCTGCTTCCAACTTCAGCGATCCAGTTGACACGTCGAGGATCTGAACGGAAATTCAGGAAATACTCCCACGTTGTCGTGGAGGTTTTGGACCACATGTAAACGTATCGATCTTTCCATCGAGTCGAATCCATCTGATGAAATTTCGGAAGTTTGGCAGTTAAAGTTGCTGGGATTAATGATTCTACTAGCACTTATTCAAAACAGTGAACCAGGGTTAAGCTCATGAATTTGCATCTTTTATCAACAATGCAAATTATGAAATATACAGAAGCCCAAATATCCAAGCAAACACGTCCAAACAGTCCCTGTCCAAACTCAGAATCCACATGAAGGGGTTGTAGCTTTCTGTCTTAGAGAACCTTTGTCCGGTACGTTTGAGCCCAAAGTAGCTCAACCGGACAAACCTGAGATTCAGCCACTGAACAAAGTTTCAGTCATTGAAGATTTTTGTGTTTTAACGAAAAAAGTCTCGTCTGTGTCGACTGAGTCCACCTGACTGAAACTTCTGGTTTTACCAGAAGGAACCCGACAGACATCAGTTATTTGTCAAACGTTTGTCGAATGTTTGTTAGCGATGGTTCCTCTGTTGGATGTTTGGTTTCCTCCCAGCTTGAGAGACTGGTTTAATAACTGGCTCCCAGTGAAGGAACTGAGGTGTAATTTGTTAATAATGTATCTATATGTGAATATTGACAGTCAGAGCAGCTTATAAGTGCTCAGTTTTCTTCAGCCTGCAGGGTTTGATTGTACATATTAAATCTGCAGGAAGTGGACGCGCTCTGCCCTTTTTAACATTTTTACTTTTTCTTTTATTTCCGTTTGTTTTCTCTTCGAGCGTCTTCAGTCTTTTTTTACTTGAAATCAGCCGCCTTGTCCTTCAGAAATCTGTTTGGATTTTTTCTGCCGAGCAGTTCACGAAAGCTGACGTGATTAGTCAGAGACACATTCGATGGATACCAAGAAAGCACGTTGGTTTAATACTTCATATTTCACAGAACAATGATAATCCGAGGGCTGGGCAATAATCCAATGTCATCAGTTATTTGATGGGACTTATGTACATTTATATTCCATATCAGGTTCCAAACAGTTATCAGAAAATATCCAGATGAGCACAATAACCGTGTTGACAACATTTCCTTGCTTTAGCTGTCCTGTTAACACGTCATCGGTTTAGTTCCCATATCTACGGAGCCTCAGAGGGGACATGACTCTAAGCACAAACTATCCCCCACTGAACGACCTAAAATCTATCAATCCTATTCTTCACCTTCAAGATACTAACGCTCGTAAATAACTTCTGCTCACTAGAAAACTATCTGACTCACAGGAGTGTATCCGTCGCTGTCCAGAAACTCACCAGAAACAATCAATGCTCAAGAGGACAACCTACACCTCTTTACAAATGTCTGGTCTGCGCTAGAACTGCCCGACACTCAGTCAAAACTATCCAGCGCTTAACAGAATGACATTGAACGCCTCAAAATGACCTGGCATCAGCAAGAAACTATTGGACTCTCACCTGAAACTGTCCAAACTATTTTAAATTCATTGACACTATCTGGAGCCAACAAAAAAAAAACTATCCAGCACTTATTATCCAGCACTCAGTAGAAAGGTATGTAGCGCCAACAATAACCTTCTCTACTAGAATCAAACTAGCTCACAATGACAAAACGTTGGCTTATGATTGGTGTCCCAGTCTGTGAAGTCACATTGCGTTTCAGCGTTGTGGGAGCACATACACACACACAGTCAGACATGCGCGCGCGCACGCACGCACGCACACAGCGCTGCGCTAGATTCTGTTTCTAGCGCAGATTCTGTTACTACCTCCAAAGACCGAACAGACCCCCATTACACCGTCGCCACATTTAGATTGAAGGTGAAACATTTCAGGGTCTGAACAGGGCTACTAAATACGATCTGACACTCACTAGAAACTTTAGTCTTGTGTCTAGAGTCGGATCGGTCGGCTTGACACCCCAACAGGAGGGTAGCAAAAAGTAGGAAGGTACAGATCGTTTATTTGGGTACCCTTCCAAACTTTGGACGGTGGAAACCGACAAATGTACCATAGTGAATCAAACTGAACCGGAACGCCCGGTATTCAGAGCTCTATAGAAACTTTCTAGCACTTACCTGAAACAATCTGACTCCCACCAAGAGTATCTGGTTCCAAACAGCTCATGTCCCCTCCGAGGCTCCTTAAAAATCAAACTCCTCCTCAGTTTGCACTGAGGAAACTGGTCTGAGTCGCAATATTTAGCACAAATCACAGAAGCTTGTAGCCATTGCTGTTCCGTCAGAGGTGATTATTATGTGTGTGTGTGTGTGTGTGTGTGTGTGTGTGTGTGTGTGTGTGTGTGTGTGTGTGTGTGTGTGTGTGTGTGTGTGTGGGGGGGGGGGGGGTCTTAAATGAGCTGCAGTTCTGCTTCCAACTTTTGCACTTTCACAGTATTGTACAGTTTTGTATGTTCACTCATCATCGTGCCTAATAATGTCGTCATATTTCAGAGGAGCGTCGGTCGGGCTGTTTATTTTTCCATCCCATCAGATTCATCGACAGGAAGTTTGACCTGTTCTTGTTTCATACCTGACACACCTGTGAGATATGTTTGTACATAGAGTCTCTAATAAGCTGTTTTTATAGAAGTGTCTCTACCGCCCCCCTCTCTTTTGAAATGTAAACATCCGAGTGAGCGTGGGTCGCTGCAAACACAAACCTGACTTCTTCAAAATGTTTCCAAATCTCGCCGTGACAGATTTGACGTCATTTCTTTCTTTTGTTTCTGTCACGACTTTGCACATTTCTATTTAGATCACTTTAATCTTTTAGGTTACATGATCATGAAAACGCATTGTCATGTAAGAAAATGCTGTTAAATATAGCTGCTTTTTCTGTGTTTCTTGCTTTATTTCTTGACTTGTTACCGTCTCTACGAGTCTATCCTGTTCTGAAGCAAGGTTCCCGCTGAGAATTTAGCTTTAAAGGTCACATATCCTCCTCCTCTTCAACTCAGTGTAAATAAGTCTCAGAGCTCCTCAAAACATGTGTGTGAAGTTTCTCGTTCTAAATCCACTCTGATCCTGTATCTGATCATGTCTATAAACCCCTCTATTTCAGCCCTGCTCAGAACAGGCTGTTTTTGTGTCTGTACCTTTAAATGTAAATGAGCTGTGTCTGGCCACGCCCCCTCTCTGGAAGGGCTCGGGTGTCTCGGTCTTTCTCGCTCCATGTCCTATTGTTTACGGTGAGAAGTCAGACTCAGATGGCAGAACAAACACCTGTGGGAGTGTCACCCACCTGGGGGAGGGGTTACTGCCCTTTGTTATGTCATGAAGGGAAAATCTCCAAATGGCCTGTTTGAGCACACATTTTCTGAAAAGTGGAGCAGGCTAAAGACGGAGAGGATGGACTTTTCTCATCATTGGGGGGTTTGTAGACAGACTAGAGACATAGATTAGTGTTAGAGAAACATGGTGAAGTGTATTTTACAGAATATGTGACCTTTAAAGATTTTAAAACAGTATTTTATTCTTATTTTTGAAGAATTTCCTGACTTTAAATGGTCAGAAACAGGATAGACTTTCCTCAGAGGTAACAACGACACGCTGCCAAATCAAACATCCGTACAAACTCTAACTTTGAGACTATTTTATTTTATGTTATCGTGTTGAACTTTGCACAGTCGCATCACAAACTGTTTTAAATATGAAGAGAGAAGACTTTCTTTATATCGCTGGATTTAAACGTGATCAGTTTGCACACATTTTCTGCTTCAAAGAATGAATGTTTTTAAGCCAAAAAAATCTTCAGCAAAATGCAAATTTATTTTTTTAACACCGATGCTCCAACGGCTGCATTGACAAAACTTTTTATTCTCGTGGTTTTTTCTCATTCCCCGTTGTCAAAATGATCGATACTTTGATACCCCGAGTTTAAAAACATTGATTATTGAAAGGAACCTGAACTTTAAAATGTTTTGTTCCTTTCATAAAATGAGTGTGAAGACAAACTCCTGAACAGTCGAAGTTGCACAAATTGTTTGGCAACGTTTCAATCAACCGAAATTTAAAATGTCTACAACATGTTTACAAAAACAAGGAACGACCCGACGGTCGGACTTCTGTTCTTGTTGCCGTGGTATCAAACTCGATATTGTTTTATATTTTACTAGATTCACAACAAAGTTTAAAATTCGGAAACATCATCTCTGATTACCACAAAATATTAAAATAAATGTTTTTGATTTATAAAATGTATTCTTTAGAAATTTTAGCTGTCTACACTTTCAGCCGCCTTTGTTTTAATCTTTTCCTCATGAACGTGTTTTCAGACGCCACCTTAAGTCACGTTTGGTAAAAATGTTTGTAATTTAACGTTATAGCGCTTTCTTTCATTCACGTCACATTTAAGCTTTCCTCACTTTGCTTTACGTTAAAGCTTTCTTCACGTTACGTTATAGCTCGCTTCACGTTACGTTATAGCTCGCTTCACGTTACGTTATAGCTTCCCTGTTCTGAACATTTTAAAGTTTTAAGTTCTGTTGTATTTTCTCCACGTGATGTCAGAGATCTTTGAACGAGTGTTCGTAAAGGTGTTAGTCGCTGTGACAGTAAAGTGGGCTTTGCTCTCTCGCTGTTTTTCTGTTTGTGGTCATGAGACAGAAGTTTGAAAATCTGTAAAACTGCGCATCTGTCCCCTAATAGGCGGTTTAAACATAACTCCTGCCTCTGACAGGTCAAATAGCAAATCACAGTTTAGGATTCTTAGGGTGGCACCTGGGACGGCAAATCAGATTTCTAGGGGGGACCGTGGACACGCTCCCTGGCGTTTGTCAATTTTAAATTATTGCTTTGATTCAAGGAAGTATCACCAAGACAACAAGTCAGACTAGTGTCTCCTCCGCCATTGTTGATGACAAAGCTATATCAGAAGTCCCGCCCCTTCTTCATTCTGATTCGTCGATGAGGATGACGTGACATTGACAAGCGTGTCGTTTAAGCACTCAGGGCGATGGGGGCTGAGAACGCTGAACTACAAGGCGCCGTGGACACGTGCAGAAGCGTTTATTATCTGCTGCATTATTAAAATTTAGAAACCAGCCGACCTTTTCTCCTGGTCAGATTTTGGGTCCGACGAGTTTTAACGTTTTTCCAGAGTGACGATGGATTTAAAAATAAAGGGCTTCTAGAGTTTAAAAAAAGGGAACTAAAAGCACATGTACACAAACATTCACACAAGTATTTTCAGACTGTAAATAGTTTCTTTCTTTTTCTTTTGGACAAATTCTCGACATTAAAGAAATGAGATGATGTATTTTTATGCAAGTGTAAAATAAAAAGTCTATATTCGAGCGTTCATTCCCTCGTGGCTATAAAAAGAAAAAGACGTTTTAGTTTTTAGTCTGTTCATCTTTAAATATATCATTGTTTATGAAAACAATCAATAAAAGAAAACCTGTATCAGAAACACAAACGTCTTCCTTCTTTCACCTCTGATCACAAACTGAAGGTCAACGTCTTCGCTTTGTGGCGTCGACTTCTCATGGGTTTATTTCTTCTGTCACCTCCAACTCCAAGGCCCTCTTTCTCTGCCGGAAAATGGTGGATTGTTCCCTCCAGGTGAGGAGTGAAGGAGATCCTCCTGCCCCGCCTCCCTCAAGAGGTCTTCCTGGCAAACTGGGAGGAGACTCCGGGGTAGACCCAGAGCTCGCTCGATCCCGCCTGGGAACGCCTCAGTCCCTCAGGAGGAGCTGGAAGACGTTTC